TAACGTCAATATAAAACATGATGAAAAATATAGAAACAAGTTTCTCTTCTACAAACAATATTTGCACATAAGAGTAATCATCGTTTGATCACAGTTTTATGTAGATCACGTAGTATAAATATTACATTTTCAATCATTTTTAACAAAATAACTAATATCGGACCTGAGAACGAAACCGTGTCGAGTTTCTACCTTATCGCTCCAGTGTATACAGAGCCTCGGCACCAACCAGCATAGAATATAATAAAAAGTTGAAACAATTTTTTAAATTCTTTTGCAATGAAATTAGACCGTTTATAACGTTATATAAATTTATTTTGAGATAGAGCTTTCTCGCAATGCGAATAGTAAGACGCCCTCAGATACGCGACGATATATCGTCGTTGGCACTTTTCGCAAGTGTTGCGAACGACGATATGTCGGCACTAAAAGAGTTAACATCTCGTCGCGTGATACGTTCGGCCGAAATTATGGCGCACCGTCACCGTGTTCGCAATTACATCGGTGGCAAAAAAGAAATGTCATGAGCGTCAAAATTAAGGATGTATTGTCTATTGGTGCTGTATTTTCATTGGCGCATCAAGAAGGCCTTTCATAAATTTAATATTTATTAAACAAAATATTACGTTCTTATATATTTATTTCATTATCTAAATAATATGTGTTAATTTGAAGCGAGGTTGAGGTAGACATACATATACAATATTACAAATTATACAATATTACAAATTCCGAAAATATCTTATTTTTTTTTTATTAATGCTATATTTAAACAGACATCACAATATATTGAACCTTGAGCTTCGAACCTGTCGCTGGATATAACAGCTGTCACATACATGTAGATTAGGTCACTCTGAATAAAAAATCATTTCCACTTTGCAAGTAACACGCAATTTTTTGAGTTATTGATTAAAGAAGCCTCTATGTACGACTATTTTAAATAATTAATAACTCGAAATTTTGCGTGATTTGCAAAATAGTAGAGGATTTTTCTATTCAGTTTAACCTGTTCTACCTGCGCACAGCCGTTTTGTCAAAACTTTCCGAACCATTTTTTCGGACATCCTGTAAATTTCGAATTTTATTATAAGTTATGAACTTTACATTGCTATATTTTCAAAAATTGTTAATAATTCTGAAATTTGTGTATGATATTAATATTTAATATTATAGTACTTTTTTATTAATGTCTTATTTTTAGTTTAGAAGATATTAAAAGTAGAAATTAAAAATATACTACGTTAATTTCATGGAATAGATGTAAAAAGTGTAATTTTTTGTTAAAAATATCTCAGTTTTTGAATAGTCCATCTTTCTCTAATTGCACGAGCAATGAATTAGATAATATTTCAGTGTATACACAATGCAAATTTCGTTGAATTCTTATCAAACTCATTTCACCTTACAATCCCATTTAAAGTAAAATAACTCTTGATTCAGTCTCTGAATTACTGTCAAACTTTTGATGCCACTTTGAAACGTAATGTAGATCAATTTGAAATTTTTTCGTAAGTTTTTCATTATTTTGAATTATAGACAATACTTAAGATCGTCGTACAGCCGTGGTTGAAAAGCTGCTTCGAGATCCCGTTCGCCGGCGCACCGCGAACGAGCGTCGAGTGAATATCCAAGTGTTTTAAAATGCAACCGGCGTCAGCATCAGATTTACATTTGCATTATAGGACCGGCTTAGATCGCCGTCGCGTGGCCGTCAGACAGAAATGTACACGTTCTACATTCGAAATGCCAAGATCATTGCGTCGCGGTGACGTTGACCTGTTTCGGACGATCAGCCGGCAATCGACAGCGGTGAACGTTTCATGTCGACTGATGAGTGGCGGATGACACTGAGGCAAGTTTGCGACGTACTTGGGCCGCGTCGGAACCGCAATAAGACGGATAAAAATAATATTATGAATATGACGGTTGAATCTGGGAGAATTCTTCTTCTTTGTGCTTAGATACCGCGGAGAGTTTTGCGTTTCATCTCAACACATTGCTAACCGCACTGCGAGTTGCATTTTATCAGGTTCTGAAAAACATTCGTAAACGGTAACAAACTGGGGCTAGATGTCACACGGGTTAATTGTCATGAAACTCATATCAAATTAAATAAAGGAGCATGTCCTTCTCTATAACGTAGGTTGCTGGTATCGTGTTGGTTGGGTGTACGAAATGGCTTATGGTTAACGCATTGCGTGCGGTGCTTAACAATACTTAAAAGATTGGGAGTGCTAAGTTTTTTCTCGTCTCTATTTTCATTGTCTCATTGGTTTTGGAATCTCTGAATTACTCTATAATCATAAAAAATATTGTAGTTACACCTGATTTTTCCTGGATTTAATTAACCGTTATTGCAACACAGTTTCTTTTATTCAAAAGTTTTGGTTGATCGGTCGATCAACGCTCATCAGGAAAAGAATAGATCCACCTGATCAGTTGGCCAAACGTTGTTGTTAACGATAATTCATTGATAAGTTCCGAGCTGATTCATCGTCCGACCGAGGAGATCCCGACGACCATTAGTTGCAGCTTTTCCGTGTCAAGCATTAAAGATTCATATTCTTATACTATTCATATCGAGGTGACTTTCTGCATATGTTGACGTCACTTGACGTCAGCCTGCATAATATACGGCTAATAACGTGTTGAAATTTTCTTTATGACACTTGCGCAACGTAAACGTCACCTTTCTGACAAAGCTTTCATTAAATATAGAATCGGACATCCTGTTATAGATTTACCTCGAGCGCCGCTTCAATGGCGCGCGCGAAGGCCGACCATATAACGCACCCACAGGCTTCTATTAAGCAAGAGAGGCGCAAGAGAAAAAAAAATAGGAAGCAATAATTGATCATTACCGCGCCAGCCGTTTTAATTAATTCTTTCGGTTACGCGCCTCGCGATTACCCCGGAGGAGGACGATTATTAAAACATCCTGTCGCGCGCAACCACATAAGGATACCCAGAGAAATGATCCCGCTATCGTGCCGCGCTTGTCCTTCCAACGTCACGATCGTCTGACACGCGTCTACCGCGAACGAACCGCACTTTGTCCGGACCGAAAGAGCCGAGCGCGCGTGAGATCGCGTAAAGAAAGGAAAAGGGGGGAAAAAAGGGTTAAAAATTCTCGAGGCGACGCGCGGGGTGGCGAGCGAGCGAGAGAGAGAGAGAGAGAGCGGGATGTCCTCTACCGTTTCCGAGAACGTTGGGGGGAGCCAGCCCCGGTCGGCGTCCTTGCGTGAACACACGTCGAATGCGCGTGTGTCCATGTCTCAATTAAATTCCGCTTGAAGACTGACATACTTGCGATATTCGTAGATAGGCGAAATAAGCGACGGAACATGCGCCCGCGGGTCCTCCGTTTTAAATCTGCCGAACGAAATTTTATAGCGGACAACTCAAAAGAGAGAGAGAAAGGGAACGTGTTTTTCCGCTCACGTTCGTAGCTGAGGTGGGATTTTTGCGGAAGAGAGATCGACGGGACGTGACGCGCCAAATGTGGCGGCAATCATCGCGGAACTAACATTTCCCGACGGGGGCGAAGCAGCGTGACATGAAAAAACGCTCGTCGGAATGCGCAAGCAACTGATCAACTGAGGGACTTTGAACACAAAAAAAAACAAAAGTGCCAACGGCGGTTTCGCTACAGACAAATTTTTCTCCGTGTGGAGTTACTTTTTCACCGTTGAAGAAATCTCCGGTGGTTTTAAATTTGGATTTTCCTGCCCACTAAAATGTTTTTCTCAAAATATAATCAATTCCGATATTTTTGAAACATTATATGAATTTAAGATTTGTGTGCAATTGATTCAACACTTACAAACAAACGTCTGTTTGTGCAAAGGAAATGTTATATTTAGCCAATTATATTTCCTACTTCCAGCAAATATTTGCCAACGAGTATCGGAATAGCCATTTCACTTGAATCAAATATAAATTTGTTGATAATACTATTATTTAATATAATAACTTAATTAGTAATATAATTATTTATATTACTTGTGTAACAAGGGGATTTATTTTCTGCAAGGAAATTACGTCTGCTCGAAGTCTCGTAAATCACCGCAGATCGGGACGAAATAACGGCCGTGCGGGATTCCGCGCATGGACTATTGTGCGTGATAAAACATACGCGCGATTGCAGGTAAAATACATTGGTATCTCGCGCGCGCACAAACGTATGGACTTTCGCGGTGTATTTAAATACCGCTTTATAAAGAATCGGCCGCGGTACACATTTTATAGAGGAATAAACTCTCTCGACTTTAGGCTCGTTTCTTAGTGGGCCGTAGGTGCGAGCGCGCCGAGCCTTTCACGATCACGAGCGCAATCGTATTTACCTTCAAGCGAGCCACCACTCGCTCTCCGCTCGCATGCACACGCACGGGCGAGCGAGCGAGCCGCATTTATGCCGTGTCGCTGGCTAAACGTCTCTCTTCTTGCTCTGCTTTTCTGATGTAATCGCGCAAGGCCGCGGCGAGAAATCGCTGCGAGCGGAGTTGAGTCCGCTTGTAAAACGTTTAGATTAACTAATTCCCCGTGATAGCCACGGCGACATCGTCCGTGCCACTCGACATTGCCGCGTTCATTCTCGATCGCTCTGTCGTCGCGCTGTGATTTCCGAATGCCGGAAACGTCGCGTCACGCCAATAAGGAACGAAGCGGTCGGTAAATTCGATCTTTCTAAATGTCAAACTCGGCAAGCGACTTGCGCGTAACATTGAGAAAGTGCGAAATCGCTCTTAATATTTAGCGGGAACAACAAGTGACTGATCGCGACTTTAAAACATTTCGAGTATTACGTTGACGGGTAAAATTTCTACACGGGAGAAATAATTCAGTTCTTGTGACAAAACAGAGACAGGATGAAAACTCGAGCGAATGTAACGAAAAAATGAAAGCTCAAGGCAACAAGAAGCGATATCTCTGATTATAGCGGATCTCTGATTGAAAACGGTAATATAATATAAGTGACCAATATATCGACTATTTACCTATATTCGCCACATTTTGCGGAGCCAGTTTTATACACAGGTCACCCTGTTTTTAATCACACACACACTTGACCGCGTCTGTACGCAAGCCGCCTCTCGCTTCCTCCGGTAATTGCCGCTCCGTCGTCGTCGTTGCGGAGGATCGACAAGGGCTGCAAGTCGATGGCAAGCTACTTCCCGCGCACCGGCCAGCACAATAATCGTTTATCGCTTCATTCGCCGGCCATTATAAGCAAGCACCGTCGGTAATAACGTCTCCCGCTGCGATCATATATCGTCCTGCCAGAGTTACACCGCCGCGGATATCGAAGGCGAACGATTTATTAACCCCTCTGTATCGGCTCGGTTCCGCGACGCGATACCGTATATCCCGAGTAATTACTTGATGAGTCTATAATGCAGCGTAATCAACCCGTCACGAAGGGGACCGTAGCGAAAAAGCCCGTCCCCGTCCTCCCCCCGTCGTTATCGTCGTCATCGTCGATGATGAATGCGAATTCCTTCATTATTCAATCGATTATTAAACCGATTTTGTTTACAACCGCGTGCGCACACCGTGAGATGACGCGTGGTCTCTCCTTGGCTTGATAAAATACGAGGTGCGTTTTTTTCCCCCTTTTGGTTCCTGCCTGGAATTCCCTTACGTACCTCGCACGTAATATCCATATTTAATATCTCATTACTAGCGGACTCGCGCGAGCGTTTTGGTTCTTTTTCACGCCGAGCTCCCGAATATAGCCCTAATTGTATCATACTGCATATACGGATAATAATTCCGACGAGACCGCATTCAACGATCACCGAGTTCGTCGAGAAATTAATGACACGGACGAGAAGAAAGACGGTACGTTCCTGCGGACAAAGAGGAGTTTTCTACTCCTTCTGCGAGTCATTCGGTTTGTTCGTGTTGCTCGCGCTTTTCGCGCTCGATCTCCTGTTTTTTCCAGCGTCCGAATATGCGCCCGTTTCTCGTTCTAAGTACGAAAAGTGTGAAAAGCAACAAGCCTCTTGTGTCAGGACCTTGCATGTTTTAACGTCGATTTACATTTACCTGCCGATTTAGATCGGCCGTATCTACCCTCCATATTTGAGCCGAAGCGAGCTTTTTTCACGATTGTAAAATTTGATTGGTTCTGAGAAATTTTCAGAAAAAACTGCCATTGTGAGTGAGAGCCTCGGACCTTTATTTGTACGTATATTTATTATTAAAAATAGCAACAAAGTATTAAACGTTTCAGCTACTTGTTACCAGGCCTCTTCATAATTAATCTCGAATGGTAAATTTTTTCTAATTTCACGAGTAATAAATTAGAAAATATTTCAATGTATATGCAGGGCAAGTTTCATCGAATTTTTATTCAAACTCATTTCGACCTTACGACCTCCTTTAAAATGGAATCACTGTCAAACTTTTGGTGTCACTTTTAAATGTAATGTAGATCAGTATGTAATTTTTTCATAATTTTTTTCATTATTTTAATTTATGGATGATACATAAAGACGAATGTTATTGTTGAATAGTACTTTTCTCACGCAATCGACCGCAATTTCCGAACTTTCTCCTTCAGAGGCGACGCCTCACGTATCGGACGCAAGCGAAAGAATGTGACTCTCCGATATTTCTTGCGAATCGATTTGCGAACTGGCAAGAGAAGAAAAAAAAAGAAAAAAAGGAAGAAATGTCACGTGCGACGTTGCAAATATAAAGACGGAGAATTTATGCACGTTGCAGCGTCATTCGCGCGTCTATCGACGAGGCGCGGGCCGATACCGAGATTCGCGCCGGGCGCCACGCATGAGAATCCAAACACACGCCCACGCATGAGGAAGTCATTAGGATGATGTATCTGATACGAGGTGCCGTGAGTCGACTGAATGACTTTCGAATGATTTCCATACGCGGCGGCCCGTCGTTTACTTTCTTAAACGGCACGGAACCCCGCCGTGACACTGTCGAATCACTCGACCTCGTGTGCGATTATCCAATATCAAAGGAAGAATGCGTGCGAATGTGTTTCGCCTATGTCTCGGACGCGTTACAACGGGGGATCTGATCACACTGTGACCTGCTCTGAGAACAGAATCGCTGCGACGTTTGGGTTCGCGGCGAGATCGCTGTGCACAAGCATACCGGCGACTTTGTTTCGATTAATGCACGGATTTTCAGAAAACAAGTGTTTTCGTTTGAATAAGATTAAAGTATTCGATTGTTAACTAAATTAATTTTTCCAGAATTTACGCAGAAAGAACAGTTTGGAAAGAAAACAGGTTGAATTAACTTGAAATCAGACGCGTTTTCATTGGAGGAAACGGAATTTCTGGTTATAAGAATCGAATATGACTCATAATGAACCAAGAATTCTATTTCCTTCAATCAAAACGCGTTTGGTTTGTCTACTTCAGATAAATTCAATCAAATTATTTTTTCTGTGTAAATAATCTATATACGAAGACAATTGAACAGTTCAAGACCTGATAATGGAAGACTGTATTTTTCTCTTTGCAATTATTTTTATTTCTTAATTTCTGACGTTCCTGAATTTCAATATATTTTATTCGGCGATATTCTAGTGCCTTTATTCTATCCTGAAAGGCCGATACTTCAAGTTTCTCAAAATAGCCATTTGTCGTAGCTTTCAAGCTCATTATTTGAGAAAAATTGCTCCCCACCGAGAAATTCTTTAAGGTTTGGAAATAAAATGAAGTCAGATGGAACGAAATCTGGCGAATTAAGCAGATGCGAATCGTACTTAATTTTCTGTTATCGAAACTACACTTGTATGAGTACGTGCATTATTAACGTACATTATTTTACGTGTATTTTAATGTCAAAAATAAATAATTACCACACTTAATTACTAAAAATCTTGATTATTAGAAATTAGAAACATTCTGCGATATTCGAAATAAAAGTTTGTGACACGCTAACAGCAGCTAATCAGCCGATAATACAATTTCATGCGATTTCCACAATGTTCGTGGCTCGTGAGCTGTCGCAACTATACATATTACGGGTATTTCGTGCGGGACGCTTTTTCCGAGTTTGCACAACGGCTTAGTTAAAAATGTCGCGGTTCCTTTAAGAGAGTCGCCCGGCGTGTCGCGCTTATAAAACGCGCGAATGCGTTCGCCCGCGTCTCGTTACATAATTTGTTTAGCAGCGTAGTGTGGGAGGGTCGGGGCATTTATATTACTCGCGGCTCGGTACAAAATTACGCCACTGTGTCTATTGTGTAAACATTGTCGACGTATGCAGTCTAGTTAAAGCTTTCGCTCGATGGACATTGAAAACTGACCCTGACTCTCCTTCCAATAAAATGCGCGATAAATTTGCAGATATTTGATATTGATCGAAGAATACGTTTGACGGAAGAATATATGTCAAACAGATAAACGATGTTGAATAAATTCTCCATCAATAACGTGGAAATCATTCCGATCGAATCAAAACTAAGGCACTAAACTTGAGTTCTTCCTCTAGTTTTCGAGAAGACTTCGTACCATTTGATTTTTTTCATATTTTATCACAATTATTTATCTAACGCGGGAAACTGGTTGATAGAAGTCGATATTATTGTTTGAGAGATATTATCCTGTTCATTGTATTTTTAATAGGCGGGAGAAAATATTAAGTCGGTAGAATTTCCAACAGCGCGCGTTAATACACATCCAAGCATTATATTCTCTCACAGACGTATTGACAATATTATTATCATAATATTATCATATATAATAGTATTATAATCCGTGCTTTGTCTCCTAAAGATCCGTAAGTTCTTTCTTCTTCTTTAGTTAGACCACGTATTTCACATTTAATATTTGAATCAAAAAGATTTATTTATTCATTTATTTATTTATATACGGGAAATATCCCTTTTGTACAGTAGATTGGGCAATTTACGTATCTCGAGATTTTGCAGTTGTGCGGATAATAAAAGAAGAAGCAAAATGACATCGCGCAGTCAGAGAAGTGTGAATACAATAGATTTATTACAATTTCATCCGCACTGTTGGGAATTCATTTGACTCAACAGCATTTTCTTCCGTATCATACAAATCAAGATGATCCGAATGGCAAATTCGTAATAAAATGTACGTTATCTGTATAAATGCGACAGGAAACAGATGTTTATCGCACCGAAGCGGCGAGAACTGCATGTAAGGTTACTTTGTAACCTTAACGCATACTACTTCGAAATCGTACATTGATTCGCAGCTTTTAACCGCCTTAGTAATCCTTTAGTGAATCGCTTAATCGCCTTGGTAATCGCTTAAAAATCTGTCTCGTTTATCGTGATCTCCGAAATTAGCCGCAATAATGAGTGCTCGCTGGAGCGTTGATTTACGGGAAGGCGCCTCGAAATGTAAAATCGCGGGGTCATCTAGCGGTAAAGGAACACGGCATATAATAATAACCGTGCATAAAATAAAAGAAAGGCAGAAAGAGGAACACAGCGAGGGAGCGAACGCCAATCGAGTCCGCGATGAGTCGTAAACCTCCGATCATTATTTTCGGATTAAGGAATTTAAAGAGCGACGGCCGCGTACTACACTTAATACGCGCGTATTTCAGTGAATATACATTATAACGCGTCTCGGCATAATTTAATTACGCACAGTCAGCGCTCAAGCAATCCACGGACTAACTGCGAACTCGGACGGTTTCTCCATCCGAATGGCGTATCCTCTCATTTGCTTAAGTTGGTCTCAAACTATATTCTTAGAAATCCTTTTAAATTTAATAAGCTCTATATTATTTATTGCGGTATAATACTTATCGACACTTCTGTGAACTTAGAAAGCGATTGACTATTCGGAAGCTGAGATATTCGCAACTGAAAATATCATTTTCTATACGTGTTCCTTGAAGTTATATGTATAATGTCCTATTTTTAACTTCTATTTTTTTAATTTTTTCCAAACCATATTTAGGACTTTAGTCAAAAACTACATGGAAAGCGACAGGTTCGCAGTTCAAGGTTCGATATACTGATGCCTGTCATCAGGTACAACTGTCATATATTTGTAAATTTGCTCATTTTAAACAAAAAAATCCTTTGCCATTTTGCAAATAATTACGTAAATTTTGTATTTAATTTTCGTCAATTTTCATATTACGTATTTTCGAGTTACAGTAGTTATTAAAAATGCCTCTATTCATGACCATTTTCAATA